ACAGTGCGAAGGAACTGTGAGGAGGAAGTTAATTTTTGCCAAAAGAAGCTAGAAGGACGATAAGGAAAGAGGGCAGATGAATCAGTAGTTCCAAATACACTCCGAATCACCGGGAGCTAAACAGCACAGTGCTAAAAGAGGATTATGCGGATAAAGACATGTCCCATTAAAAAAAGGACAAGAATACATCACAAAAATGGTTCGATATTTAAATCGATCACTGAAATTGGCAGTGTAAGTGCAAAAGCAGTAATCACATCAGGATGCAAAACACCAATTGTACCCAGTGTTGTATCACCGGGCCCAACAATCCTGGCACAGCGACCATCCAAAAATGTCGGATCTGAAACTTCATGGATCGACCCTACACACACATCTTTCGGTTTCCTTAGAAATCTTCCCCTTCAATGCGAATGATTCCCCCTCAAGCAATTCATTCAGAACGGGGTCATCAGTGGGAATTAAAAATAAGTACTGACTTCAACCAAGGGCTACCAGTCGAAATTCTGGGAACACTCAAACGTGTAGTTAAAAGAACAGGGCCAAGATAAGGCAGTCACGAAGTAGAGTAACCAAAAAATAAGTACAGTTAATAATGGAGATGAGAAAAGCCTGACAAGCTGTGTTTAGCAAGTGAAATCGCATCGATTACCCGGTCAAAACGACTTTGCTGGTCCTAATTCTGCTGCTTTTTCGAATTTCTAATGATCGGGTGAGATCACGTCGATAAAAGAAAAAATTAAACGGAAACCTTCATGAGCGGAAATGTAATATCCGGTGCCGTCCCTGGTCCATTTCACGCCGAGAAGTTGCATAATGCGATCCAGAAGCCCATGGATAATCTCGAAACCTGACGTCCTACTGCAATAAACGGCACACAAACGACGCTCATTTTTTGCGCCCACATCTGTAAAACAAATTTTATCAACGAATAGTTAAAATCTTAAAATTTATTTTGAATTTATTTCTTTCACGTCCATTAACTAATTGTTGCAAAGTTTCTGATAATTAGATATTGGCTTTTCTATAACCAATAACTAACGCTGAAGTTTCCAGTAATTCCCCGTCTCCCTGATTCTTTCAGATTCCAACTGCAAAGAGACCAAGCGCTGAATAGCAATAGCGTGGTGAAATCACCAATAGACGACAGTTCAAAATCCACGAAAAAAAAGACGGATATTACAACAAATAAAACATATCGTTACATAGTGCAGATTTCGTGAAATTTAAAGCAATTCTGCAAGAAAAAGCGAATGATAATACCTGAGGTCGAATCTTTCAATACCACATCCTGTATTTCGAATAATCGCAACGGTAAAGGCATATCTCTATTTGACGCAAGTGTTTTCAGTAAACCAGGTAATAACGTTGTCCTGGCAACCTAAAAATTCCATTTCAGTTTAATGATATTTCCACACTCTTTTTAATGACAGTTTCAAAAAGTGTCAGCCATTAATTAAATTGTTATTTACCTGAAATTCGAGTGTTTTCGGATTTGATATTTTAATGGCTTTTTTGAGATTATCGGGTTTTTTCAACTTCACTGAGATATCGTCGCGGCTGCACTGAAAATTACTGATGGACACCGATTCATCGCACAAACTAAACTGGCATATATATATTAATTTCTCGAAACTGTGAAAGCGGGCACAAAAGCTCCAAAGCTACTGTTACAGGTAAATCTTGATACTCTTCATCATACGGTAGCTCAAAAACACAATACTGAGACGATCCGAAGTGAAGTTTAGGTCGGAGTCCATGGCTATGGGTCGGTTATGGGAAGCCTGAGAAGCAAGTGTGTACTATACAGTCTGTGATCGCACTACTTTTTTACAGTCATAAATGTTCGATTCTGTAATAATTTGGATATTTTTTGAAGTTATGGAAAAGGTTGTAACTAAAAGGAAAATAATAATTAAAAAAAGTATAAACTGAATTTGTATGTTTCGGTCCATTAAGTCGCAAACATTCCCATTCAGTGCTGTAACTGGACCTCGTCAATGTGACAGTTGCAACAAAAGTACCACGTATTCGATGCAGCATAGTGTAGCACAAAAAACTAAAGTTTGTAGCGCAAGAAATGAGTTTTCAGAAGCCAACACAGACCAGTGCAAAATTGAGTGTCTCGGTCCAGCCAGCAGCAGCAATGTCATATCTGAGCAGATCAGTTAGCTTATTCAAAGCAAATGGTTCGCCGATCGTATTCGCTTTCGGGAACTGCTGTTCGATTCGATTGAATCCATACGCGATTGCGACATCCTCGGCTACGTCACATTCGTGCAGTATGTCGGCTCGTGTTATCGGGATTTGAACCTGAAGCAAGTGGCAGATTTTGCGTGAAACATTTCCCCAATGAACTGATCTCATCTCTACTCATGTGTCAATTTTGCCTCGCCCAATAACTGGAAATGACGCCTGCAAAAAAAAAGCGTGTACATTGGCCCTTTCCGCTTTTCTGCGCTTTATTTTTGCACCAAACTCTAGTAATTTAAAAAGAAAAAAACATACTTCCACCGCATCACGGGTCTTATCTCCTTGTTTGAGGTTTGCCCTTAATGACATTCTGTTCAGCAACTCGCAAATTTCGTCCGCTTTCAAATCCACACCGATTCTTTGTTTGATGTTCGCAGCGCTCACAGTCATCGATCTTTCGCGCAATTCCTAAAATTTTTTAAAATTTTTACAGCCGCAGCCTTTTTATGCAAAACAAACGTACAGTAAAAGAAGCCAATCATCTACACCACTACTGCTAAAGGATGAAACCCCTCAGACACCACCCAAACCGCATGACAAAGTCCGAGCTTCCTCATCTCTCACGGAAAATGCATGAAATGAGGAGATTCTATCGTGTTCTTGATCCTTTTTCATGACAAAACTCATCAAAACACAATTCATCAAAAATCACTGCTTCCTTCACAAAAATTCCAAAAAAAGAAACATACCGGGTATTCTTGCCTCGATCCATCTACTGAAACTATTTCAACCGGTTCGACGCTGAAAAAATCCCTGTAAATTTTAATTAAATTTCATTTTTTCTGCTACGAATCAATGCCACCCCCCGCAACAACACCCCCTTTGCCCCACAAACGCCGTACCGACGCACAGTTTTCGATCTTACTTCGATGCATCTAAATAATACACGCAAGCTTGCCAGATATTTTCTACTTCGGATTATTTCCCCACATCCATTACTTGTACAATATCTCGCTGGACTCTGTCCGGATGATGGCTATTTGATAAACAAACTTGATGAAAAGCTTACAGGAACGAGGCGTTATCACTCTCAGCACTTGCTGTGGTGTACTGACTGAACATAGCAACAAGTGTATTGAGTACAATTGTAGCCTTCTCCAAATCGGTTGCAGTAACTTCGATTAAAATATTACGGGTTCCAAGATGGATTTTCGAATGTTCACCTGAAAAAATTTGAAAAAAAAATGAGAAAAATATTATGAAAGGTAACACTGATAACAGCAGCAGGCTGATTTAATGGATCGAAAAATTCCAATTCAGTTTTAATTTCTATTTTTGCTTTAGCCAACTATAAAAGAGCTTTTTGTGACAAGACAAGCAACTGTAAAGCGAAAGTCGAACGAAATATCTATGAAACGAAAAACAGCAGCCCTAAATAATACAAATAATCAGAAATGACACAAATATCCAGTCTTGTTGACTTAATTTTTGAAATTTTAGCATGCATTTGAAATAATACCATTAATTATCGGTGGCATTGAGAGCACCACGCCATTGCTATCCCGAATCACTGGATACCGCTCTTCACCAGCAATGATCGGAAGATATCGCTTTAAATGATTATCCGTCTGCAAAACAACTTATACAGCAAATAGAAGCTTGCAAATTTGCCAGTGAGGGAAGGAATGCTTTTCTCAGACCCAAGCTGTTCAAATACAACAGTCGCTCCAACAGATTTCTCTACGATCCTTCGTTTCAATAGCAAACAATTACAAATGAACCCCAAAAAGATGAGGCCGCCGTCAGCTCAATCCTCAAAAACGGGACCAACGGCAATTTTATTGGCGAGAAGAGCTACCTATCACTCACGGCTGCTTCTGAGGGAATTCGTCTTTTAAAGATTACGAATTGACTATCTGGGACATAATTACAGCAACTTGGTCTTCGGTGAGAGGGAAGAAAAGAAGAGCTCAATTTCAAGTGTTAGTTTTGGCTTCTATACCATATTATGATTTTTTTTCATTGTACTATATTATGATGATTTTTTTCACTTTTCCACTTCGTTATTTAATTTTCTGTTCCACCAAAAACTATTTTTTTTCTGCAAAATTAAGAAAACATAAAAACGTACCGAATATAAAATCATCAACTCTTCGGCCGTATATTCCTTCGTCTGATTGAGTGGTCTGAATCGAATCTCGCGCGGCTTTTCAGCACCATAGTAAAACGGTCCTAAGTAAAATTTTCAATTTAACTGAGATGAAAAATAAGAGTTAAATTTAAGAGGCGCATTTACTATGAATGCCATTTCGGACAAATGGCGTGGGAATCCGGTGTTACTGGAATGCATCGATATCTGGGCGCGCCACTGCAAGCCATTCGGTCCTTACTCCAAGTTAGTACTCGTCATCTGTTCGACTTATAAACCTTGCTCTTTTGGAGATTGCTTGAATGACCTTTCTTTTGCCCCCTGAAGGGATTGCCGGTCAGTTCTTCCCCGGACAGACGCAGTTATTCCCCCATGAGTACCATTCAGTAAATGGTACTAATTTGCGGCGCTCACTGACTGATAGCAAGATAAGCAACGAATTTTCTAATAAGAGTTTAATTTCTTGCATCGTTGTTATAACACCGAACATGCTTTAATTCACTGGAGTCCAACTACTTGCACGATCGTAAGGAGACATTTAATGTAGCCTTCACTCCAGTGAACTGGCGCTCGCTCTTTTGCTTTCGATAGAAGCCATATTACGTTCCTAGCGCAAATGGAGAGCCCTCTCCGCCCGATTCGACACTTTGAGGACAATGACAAAGTGTAGAACTGCACTAAACAGCAACTTCAATCTAAAGTCCCCTTTTTGAGAATTATAGAGCATATTCATGGGCTAATTCAACATACAAAAGCATTTTCTTCGGCGCAAAAATCTGGAAATCAGGAAGAATCTCAAAGAAGGAACCTTGCACGGTATCCAAATCATGTGTGCCAATAGCGACAAGTGACCTCTTTCGGCAAATATTTTGATGTAGCTTGTCCTGCAAATCAATGAACGAAGCGTACGAATCTGCATCCAATTGCACGCCAACCAGGATGGCTCCCAAAACAAAAGGTCGTATCGTGAGCACTTCAGGCCGAATGAAAATTTGATGCCGAAGTGATGTTTTGTGCCGCTGATAAACAGGCGGCTCAATCCTGAAAGTACCAGTGGAATTACAGGAATTTACTGAATTAGATAAAAGAAACGCAACTTTGGTTTTTCAAATGTGAATACATCTCAAAAAAGAACTTTGTTACAGCGGCGTGACCATAATTATTCGTAGGAATT